TATTGTGTTCACGTATTTCATTGCCATCATCTCACCATCAATAGACAGCATCAGGTTTTCTGATTGCCACGACACAGTTGTTTTTCTTTATATATCCTCACTTTGACTTGACTTGTTGGAGGAAAAAACCCTTAACTGGCTCTGTATCCACCTACCCCCTCTTCATTCTGCTTTGCTGTGCTTACTGGGATATAGTTAGTGACCTATTTTTTGCGATTGGTCTGTTTGTATTGCGTAAGCATTTGTGTCAGTGTGACTGTGATCCAGAGTTTACCCCTGTGTGTTTGATTTAGTCTACCCTCGCCATTTCCTGTTTGTTAAATACTGCAATTCTTTTCATCACGGCGGGGTTGAAGATAATAAGACGTTAGAGAATAGAGGAGGGGAAAAACATGGTAATTATCACCAATGCTCTGTTAAACAGCTCGCAGTCTAATCACAGATGTGGTCTTAGGGTTGTCTACATGGAGGACGGTATCACGTTTGTTGATTAAGCATCCAGCTGTAGATCACCAATCCAGTCCAAGGTCATAAAGACTAACTCTGTCTCTGAAACCACTTGCTTTACTTTGAATGGCATTTAGGGTCATTTCCTGAGGGTATTCTCACTGCGGTGTCCTGTGCATCCTCTCTACATAAAGCTGAGTCCTGTGTGCTTTGAGCAATATCGTCTTTCTCGTGACCCCTAGCACAGCTGGAAGGTAGCTGGGCATTGGGGAGTGAGTGATTTAGGGTAAAGGGCAGCTGAAGATAACAAAGGAAGGGTGAAAGGAAGAAAATAATAAGAGAAAAGACAAGAGATGACGACAATAAGCCTCCGAGTAATAGGGTGGGGGGAGGATGGAGGAAATGAGATGAAGAGAGTGAAACAGAGCTTCAGGCTGAGTGAGAAAGAGACAAGCCTTTGTGTCTTGAGAGTCCCACAATCGCAGTGTTGTGAGGCTTGAATGGAGGCTTATGAGAGCTGTGAAAGTCTGGTGAAGCTAGACCAGGGTATACCTAGCAAGTGGCTAAAGTGCCTTTTGTGCTGCTGCATGGGATGATGATCTTAGGGACGGATGGCTGGAGCAATATGACAAGCTAGTGGGGGGTTGCTGTTATTGAAGTAGGGGTGAACACTGCTGACACGCCGACCACCTGTCGACATGCTGTTGGGGCAGGCGGGCAGTATAGGAGGGGGTGGATGGCCCATGAAGTGGGTAGGGTCAGCGTTGGTTACCATGGATACTCTTTTTGTATCTGTGTATAGTGGAATTCCCCGAGACATTCCTCTCTTCTGCTGAAGTTTGCAGTTGGCCCCCTCTCTGTGTGCAGTCCACTGGTGTAACACCCCCTAACTAATGAAATCTAAATACCCTCACAACTTAAATCATCCTGTTTTTTTCCTGCTTACTTTCATTCAGTTGTGGTTAATTAATCGCCCCTCGAGAAAGACGTGGGCGCAGCAAAGACAAAGGAAACGGCTTATCTTGTTAAGCTGTGTGCAGTCAAATGTGGACCAGGGGCCACAGGCATAACACTTGGTTTAGATTCAAGGCTAGAAGTCTGTGTATGCATAAAAACAGAAATATGCACATGCAGCCTTGGAGGCAAAATTTAAAACATGTTTCGACACACTCCTCCATTGTATCTCAAAACATTGGTAAATCGTGTGCACGTGTATGAGCTTAATGTCCACTTCCTAATAATTGAGGAATGGGCATTAACACAACCCTCTTGAATCCTGGTTGGGAATAAACTGGTTTCCTTCTTTGTTTGATCTGGCATCAAAGCATCAAAGACGTCTTTGTGTTTGTTGCCCACAACCAGATAGCATGAGGCGGTGAAATTTATGATTTGACCTAATTTCTGCTGTTCTTTTTTCTGCACTGTAATATGGGAAAATAAATTACATGTGAACGTTGTATGTTGACCTATTTACTCTTATTCATGACAAGAACTGTATGCATGCACAAAGGCAGAAATATGCATATGCATTCTTTCCGTTTGCACACAGATATTTGTGCCCACTCCACCAATTATTAGACCTGTCAATGACAAGAACGGCAAAGAAGTGCAGTTTTAGAGTTTTGTCGCACCAGGGAGGTTCTCCAACAGCGCCAGAACAGCTGTCATTATGTGCGACCATTAAAGGGGGTTATTTATAGTGCCTGTACCACTAAATCATCGCATGTATCTGTAAACCATCATACGTTGTTATCTCACTCATCCTATCCCCAGAGGGATTATGATTGATTAATCTATAGATCTTATATTGAAACAGACTTTACAAACTGCTACACAACTGAAGATCATTAACGGGAGAATTATGGCTTGAATCTAAGTAAACAATTATTCACATTCATCATACTTCATGTTGAACATATCATTTCACCTGCAACAATCTCTAGAAAACTCAGCGTTCGCCTGGTTTGAAGAATATGTGAGCTTAGTGTAAGACTTAAACCCAGATTTTCATATCAAAGAGGATTCCTTACTCTGCCTTCCTGTTGCCCCAGTCCGTTGATTTCCAATCCAAAAGGTGCAGTTAAGCTGTTCTTGATTTTGCAACTCACAATTTAAAAAAAAAAAATTGAACTCTACCTTCTGTAACAAGCAACAGACACAGCAATATTTGTTCTCAGTTCTTAGAGGTAACTGGGTGTTTGGAGAACAGCTTGCATCAGTAGCCATTCTTCAGCTCGAGGCAAAAAACAATTAAGTGGGCCATCTAGAAGGGAAACCTCTGGACAGAGAGCAGGGAGGCAGAGCCATGTGGGCAGAGAAGTAGCTTGATCCTGACCATGTGCCTGTGTGGATCCACGAGTCTGCAACATACCTCGCATTACTGGCATCTGGAGCGGAACGCAGCACATCAGACAATGTTGCACACTGGCTTTACTAGATCAGTTCCCCCTGGCCAGATTACAGACCCCGGCTTAGGACGTGCTCACAGACGAGGGCTAAGGGCTTACTGACATGACTGATGGCAAATTGAACAGATTTTGATAGAATGCATTAACAGGTCTAGAGAAAAAAAAAGTATTTATCAAGAGAGGATCGTTATTGAAATCCCACATTGTCCAGATACATTTGAACTACAAGGTGGGGTGTCCTAGTGGCCTTGGGGTTTATGACGGCTGGGGACCTTTGTTTTATGTCTTATGTCTCTGTAATACTGTAATTTCCTGTCTTGATAATGTTGGGTGTGTCTGTTCTGGGCTACTGTAGAAACATGGCAGTTCAACGGACTCCATGGAAGGTAACCTGTAGCATCTGTAAAAACATCTCATTCTAAGATAATGAAAACACAATGATTCCTATATTCAGCTGATTATACACTAATAAAAACATACCTATAATTATATTCTTTTTCTGCCTCCTCAATGTTACACACTGGACAGATGAGGCAACTGTGGCCTTCAGTTAGACGCAGATGTCATTAGACAGTATGCAACTTTCATTCTGTCCGCAGCCACAACACCCTCCATTTGACGGGTCAGCAGTTGACAAATCATTGCCCATCTTCTCATAATTTTCACCTAATGTCATAATGACAGTACTTGCAGAGGTTTACCTGTAGCTCAAAACTCAACCATGATCAGACTAGCATCAGCATATAACCCACACTAGCACATTTCCCTATCATTAGCAAAGTCTGTGTGGCATCCCATAAGGGGAGAACGTACAAAGGAAAACGATGCGTGTAAAGTGTGCCACACCTCAAATGTAGACCACATCAGACCAAGTTCACCTCTCACAACAGCAGTGTGTGCTCTGCAGGCTGAGAAGTAGGAGGCTTACACACACAAGCAGGGTGCGGTGGCTACAGAAAGACATTACACTGTATAATTATAGAGCCTCCTCTTTCCTAAATAGAATACAGGGCCTCTCTTTATATGACTGTCCTCCTATATGAGGGCCTGTCAGAAGAAACAGAGTAGGCCTCTGTGAGTGTGAGTGTTTTTGGACAAGACTCCACTGTCTACATTGACCAAGAGTGGCCACTATGAAAGAGGGGTCGGGATTTGTCCCTCGTGACAGAAACCATGAATGAGCAAAGAGACAGACAGGCGGGTGTCTTCTATTCCAGGTTTTCCCCTGTGCAGAAAGTTGCCATCATTTTGTCTTCTGGCTAAGATCTGCACTAAATAGTAACTGTTGCAGGATTGTGAAAGCTTCTGGAAAGATGAAAATGTTCCAGATGGCATCAGACACACATGACATTTTGCCACAATGTCTGCAACCTTAAATATAATCTTTAAAGGAATCTCTTAGATTCTGTACTCTAAGTGCTTAAACATGCACCTTCTACTTTAATGTATTTTGCAGTTATAGGGTTATATATGTTGTCTTGTAAGATGAGCTCACTATAGCTGTATAGTAACTCAAAGTAATATCTCTTAGATACTGTAACATTGAACGTTTTAACCTTGAATTAATAGTATGTTTCATGAAGAGGAGACAACAACAAGTTCATTGGTTTTAGCTTCTAGGTTTTAACCAACTGTAGTATTTTACTACTGCTGTTTTGTCTATAATCAGTAGATATTGCATGTCTGAAAGAGTACTCTTTCCCTTGTTGCTCTTCCTTCCTTTATTTTCCTGCTAAAGTTGGTAATGGTATGTTGTTTAGAGTGTTTTGGCTCCCAGTATCTTATCTTGTCTATTTTGTCTGTTTATGTAACTGTTTATTTAGCTTTTGTCCATAGCTCTCTTTCTCTATAATTTTTCTGAAAACTTTTGTTTTGTCACAAAAATTCATTTTGGTTTAAAATTTTGGTCATCTTAGGCAATTTTGGTTTGCTTTGTCCTCTTTCCTTCCTGTAAAGTGCAACATCTTTAGATGACAGAGATGGTAGCAAAATGCACACTTAAACCCTGGCCCTCCCTTATCAAGTGGCCTGTAAATAAATGATGTCTCTATGAGATGGTTTATAATGGTGTGTGTGAAATTCTGAAAGTGATGTTAATGTTTTCCCTGTCTCTCTCTCTCTTTTTCCATTGTTCTCTGTGTGCAGCTGGCCTGCTGCTGTGGCTCAGCGGCCTGCTCGTGCTGCTGTAACTGCTGCCCCAAGATCAAACAGTCCACCGGGACCCGAATCATGTATGCCTTCTACTTCCTGCTGGTCACCATCATCTGTGTCATCATGATGTCCCCCACTGTGGAGCAAGAGTTGAGAGATAACGTAAGTACATAAATGACACACAGCAAGATTTCCCTCTCCCACAGCATATGCTGTACATACATACATATACACACCTTTTTTTAGACTGTAAATTGCACGTATATAAAAGAGTTTGAATTGTATATGGTTGAAAGTATTAATTGTAAGAAGGTAGGGAAGGATAAACGGCACAGAGAGAGAATTAAAGCTCTCATCTGTGCTGTACATCCTTCATTTAAATGGAGATTGAGTGGAGTGGTTTTGAAACTCTCAGCCCTAAAAGCCTCTAATTGATATGTGCTTCCGTAGTAGTGATGATAGACTGGCGATAAGTTATGATCAGATCTATTCAGATCAACTCAGATTAGAGGTCATGATGTCTTGTGTGTGCAGTTTGGTAGGTATTATAAGGGTGACACACTGTACAGTTATTAGACTGATGATGCTTTAGGTGTCCCCACTTGGACAGAGTTTAGGCCAGTTGATGTCATAGTAAATGAATGTAACTGATCTATCTTGTTGTGAGCAGTGTGAGCATGGTGAGTAAATCATCCGAAAACAAGCAAACCAATCAACCTTGTAGGCTGCTGTGAATGAGAGTGTATTACTTTATAATTCAGTTCATCCAGGCGTCAGAGAAGAGTCCACGTTACCCTTACAAAGTTCACTAACTTACGGCGCTCTTTGGCAGACACTGAACACATGCCCCCCACCATTCACCACTTGAACCAAATTCTGCTTTTTCATATATGAGCACAATGATTCTTGATGTATGTTCATTTCTGTTTTTGTAGAGTAACCCATGAAAATTGGTGATTCTGTTGTTGTTTTGCGAATGACCTAGTTCACTGAATAGAAGAGTGGGGGTCTGCTTGGAAGCTCTAGTAACCAAGCCAACAATAGCCTCAATACTGTGACCTTTTACACTGTTTGGCCTAACACTAATGTCTGGACTCTCTCCCTAGGCTTTACTTTGCAGAAGTAAGCAACGGTACATAGAACTAAGTCATTAGACAGTTGAGTGCTGGGAAAGAAACACATACTGACAAGGAAAGAGGAAGAGGGTATTTGTAGGTTACACACTCTCCGCACACATTCTGAAATTGGATGTTCTCTTGTCAGATGAGCCAACTTTTGTATTTATTTCAGAGAATGTACAAGTATTGCCATGTCAATACTAACTAAAATATTTTTTTTAAATAGATTCATAGCATTGCTACAGGCAAAACAGACATATTTTTATTTTACCTGGAGATCCCATGTGTATCTTCAGTAGCAAGGCCATAGTCGAGGAGGCAGGAGTTCAGGCTGGTAGCTTTTTGTTTTGAACTGCCCACCGAGCTCAGATGCCCCACATGTTAGCTCTTTGAATCATCATAATGCAGGATTATTATCAGACTGTGTTTTGGTTTTTGGGAAATTCCAACTTAACTGGAAGACTTCTGTGGGTGTTGTTATCTGCCACAACGTAGTTAACCTCATCGTCTGTAATCACTGTCTGGCACATGATGTCAGAGATGATGTCCTGATGAGAAGACAATGTCTCATCCTTTATGTCTGAATCAATGCTAATACCTGAACTTGACAAGTGATCCCTGTATCAAGGTACAGTGTGTGTACAGTGTGTATCAGCATACACCGTAAGACAGAGTAAACAGGGAATAATGAAATGATAAAATAATGATTCTATAATGATGTTTCTATATCTGGGAAGAAGACCATCAGCTGACTGTGTTACTATGGCAATGACTGCAAGCTTCCTCAACTGAGAGCGCTATTTGAATACAGTGACATGTTTCCACCAATCTTCTGCTTTTTTCCCCATCTCTCTTTTTCCGCCAGTGTCTACTGTACTGTATTAAAACGGCTCCCTACCGTGTTTCTCCTTGTGAAAGAAGAATCCTGTAAAAGGCTCATCCAGGCACAAAATGGCCTCTGATAGCCCCATGGAAAGCCTGCTGAGTTACACACACATATATACACATATACACGAACACTGTCAGTCTCACACTGAGCACAGTGGGAAGTCCCAGCTAAGAGAGCAGCCATTGTGCATATGAGAGTGCTGGTCTTTTCTCAAGAGATTTACAGCTGTCTGAAACAGCCGGCCCCTTTCCCTCTTAATCACTACGCCATGGACATGCTAATATGGTCCTTAACATGAGACAAAAGCTCAAAAATGGTCTTTTTACTCTATGTTGTGATCTGGCTCTGGACTGTGCTACACACTGAGGTGATGACAACTCAATCCGCTGGCGTCTCACCCATGTGTGCAACTTCAAGGACCTAAGTACTCTGCCAATAACTAGTAAAGCCAAGTCAATCCCTGTATTACCTGAAAGCGAATATCTGACTTCTGTTCGAAAAGCACTTCTTGTATTTGACTTTGATTCATATCTCTACTGTCAGGGGGCATCAGAAAAGGGAACAGATATTTGAGCCTTTATTCTTTGGTTATCATTTCAAAGACTGTCTCCTCTGTTGGCACTGAGCCACTGAAGCACTTCCAATTTCCTGTTGAAGGCCACAGCAAAGTCCTTATCTACTTTGCCGACTCTGGCCTTGTTCTCCTCTTTTTTTATGCAGCTCACTGTAGGTCGAAATACATTTTGAATATGTATTTTAAGATGGATCTCCCAGTCTGTCTCGCTTGCTCGTGCTCACTCTCTGCTTTTCACTTTTCCCAATTCCTCTGACTTGCTGACAAAAGGCAGTTAATTTATTCATCTGTGTCTTTTGTTTGTGTACACTGACAGTTAGTTGTAAGGCCCCTCTAACAGCCTGTAGAGAACGAGGGATGAAAGAGGGCTTCATGGAGAGAAAGAGGGGTTGTTGTTGCTGCCTGTTCTCCCTTTCTGCTCCTTTAGAGGCGTGACACTCAGAATAGATGCTATTGGGTCCTTTTCTCTGAGGCCGCGTACTAGACAAACATGAGCATGGGTGGAGTTTTTTTTAACACCATAATAATATATAATATAATAATATAATAAAAGTATTTTTTGTGATTTTGTCAATCAGATCCCCTTCTACAGTGACTTGTGTGAGAAGATGAATGCAGGGGAGAACTGCAAAACCCTAGTTGGCTACTCTGCCGTCTACAAGGTGTGCTTTGGCATGTCCTGCTTCTTCTTATTATTCTCCCTCTTCACCATACGAGTCAGCAACAGCACAAGCTGGAGGGCAGCTATTCATAATGGGTAAGAAGGCTGTCTTCCTCTCTCTGTACTCCTTTTGCCCTGTCAGTAATTAAACATTTTACTTTCATCTATAATATCTAGTAGGGATCTTAAATGTATAGTCTGTGAACACAAAGGCAAAAGCCAAATGACTTGACTGAGGGCAGGTACATGCTGCTTGCATTAGATCAGTTCAGTTCAATTATGATATAAACATAAGCACCTGTCATCTTTGACACTAGACCATATCCTGGCTTTTTGGATTAGTTATACTACATATTCTGTATTTCTTGCATTTCTCTTCCTAACACTTTAAAATTAAGCTGAGGCTGCTCTGTCCTATTATTCCAGTTTTTGCATTGTATGTTTCACTTCCATGTACAACCTTTAACATTATCACTTCTTTATATGTCAGGTTCTGGTTGTTGAAGTTTATTGCTCTGGTGGCGTGCTGCGCTGGAGGCTTCTTCCTCCCACAACAGGAAATCTTTCTGGAAGGTAAATAAAGCACACTCAACATTAGAGCTGCAGGCTGTAATCTAATGACTTCTCTAAAACAATTTCCCTGTCTCTCCCTTTTCTCTTTGCCACAGTGTGGCGCTACGTAGGAGCCGTTGGCGGGTTCATTTTCCTGCTGATCCAGCTCATGCTGTTGGTGGAGTTTGCACACAGATGGAACACAAACTGGTGAGAGCAACATGTCTTCTCTCTGCTCTCTCTTTTGACCCAGTAAGGCAGAGTCTGGCTCAGTTACGTAAGCACTGACGCCCAGTAAATGGGAGCAGTACAGTGCTTTTTATTTGTTCTTGAGAAACTCACAGGGTGGGACATATTCTTCTGTGGGGTTATTTGGATGAAAAAAGGTTGGTAAGAGGGAGTCATGTAGCTTTGTGTTTTTGTGGGTGGAGGGGAAACTTGGCAGCAAACTGGTCCTGGGCAGATTCAGAGGATGCATATGGTTTAGAAGTGTGCACTCAGTTTCCTCTTCCTTTCCACACATACCACAGCAGATTTTTTGAAAAACCTTGGTTTGGTAAGCAATGCAGTAAACTTAGTTATGTGCACTTGTATTCACTTATTTAGTTTTTTAGTAAAACCTTTAATTTCCAGACCAAGCAATACTGATGTAAAAGCCTTTAAGCAGACATAAACCTGTTTTTTTGTCTCATGGAGGTATAACTTACCAAGCATAACTTTCTCTTTCTTTAAATTTTTCTTTAGGCCAGCCTTTCCCATGTCAGTTTTCTTTGCTTTTTTCCCCTGCTGACTTGATCTTTTTTACTTATTTAATTTGCTCTACCCTTGTTCATGTTATGTTTTTGTCCTTTCTGTTGTCTGTTTTCTCTCTCTCTCTCCCTCTTCTCTTTCTGTCTGCAGGAGTTCAGGAGCGAAGTATAATCGTCTGTGGTACGCAGCTTTGGCCTTGGTGACTCTGTTGCTGTTCAGTGCTGCGGTAGGAGCCGTAATCTTCATGGGTCTGTTCTACACTGACCCTGAGGCCTGTTTACTTAATAAGATCTTCCTGGGCATCAACGGCAGCCTGTGCCTCGTCGTCTCCCTTTTGGCAATCTCCCCATGCATACAGAAACGTGAGGACCTGTACTTAGGAGCATCTTACCTCATTTGACTGCGTAATGCAAATGAGAATATAAGGATTTGCATTTAGATGGCTTTTATAGAAAGCTACTTGGTTTTTCACAAAGATAAAATCACAAATAGCAACAAATTTGAGATACATCAAACAAGTGATAGAAAGTAGCAATAAGTAAGACTATTGGCTATATTTGCACCGACTCAAGAATCTCAGGATAACTAGTTATATAATTAAATCCTGTATTCACCTTTGTGTCCCTGCAGTGCAGCCCACATCAGGCCTGCTGCAGCCAGGAGTCATCAGCGTGTACGTCATGTACCTCACCTTCTCAGCATTCTCCAGCAAACCAAAAGAAAGTGAGTTTGAACAGACATCCATTTCCACCCAGTAGTCACAACCTTTCTTGGGTGTCATCTTGGGTCAACAGGTATTATCTGAGTCCTGAGTTAGGCTTATTAATGGTGCAGCAAATGTTAAAACTTAACAGTTCTGTGTTGAAGATGGATGAAACACTGAACGTTGAAAACTAGAGTTAGGTTTCGTCATTGCAACATCCAAAGTTCATATTCATTGTTTCTAGAGGTGTGTTTTTAAATGGAAAAAGCAAAACATTTTAAGTTGTTGAAGCAGCCTGTCCTGTAATGGTGTTTGAACATGATCATTTTAATAAGATGATAAAATGTATTTTTTATTTTTTATTTTTTAGAGATTACAAAAAGTTTTATGCTCATATCATAGTGAGTTTTAATTTATTTAAGTAAACCAATAATAATAAAAACAGACCCTGTAAGAAAAGGAGAACACCTCTACCGCAAAGCCTTTCTACCTTTTTAAGATAAGGCATTGAGTTCTTTATTTGAGTGTAACTGAGAGCTTTAGAGAAATAGTAATCCTTAAAACAAATTACTCTGAAGTCTGAGGTACATGTCCATATCTACAGCTCCTGTTTCCACAGTAGTTGTCGAGATTATATTCAACACTGAGATACTGTTGTAAAGATAATCTTACCATAAATATTTAATATCAGCACATGCTACCTAAGCAACATACACAAATGACCTATATACTGTTATTGGACTGTTGGTGGTTTTGTACCTTATGTTTTACTCTTTTCATTTTCCATTCGGCTCCTTCTCTTGCCGCTGTGCCAAAATACACACACACTCACCGCATCTCTCACAATCTTCTTTCTCCTTTCAATACTCCCTCTACTTCTTCTTTTACCTCATTCATCTCTGTCTGCACATTCTTTTTTTTTTTAGCTGTGGAGAGAAATGGTCTGAACACAACCGTGTGTGTGTTTCCCTTCAACTCTGGGACTGAAAGCGACAAGAAAATTGTCACTGCTTTTGGAACCGTTATCCTGTTCGGCTGCGTCCTTTATTCCTGGTAAAACACACACACACACACACACACACACACACGCACACAATGACACAATGTCTACATGCATGCAAACCAAATTTCCCTGTAATATATCACTTTTTAATGTTATGTCGTTTAATTTATAGAGTTGAGAGATTATGCAAGAGCTACAATCCAAACCCATTAACAGCAGTTGTGTTAGAGGCAATGTGGAATAAAAGTAATGTATTTTATGGCAGGCTGTAGCGACAGAGACAGGGTAGTTTTGATTGGCTGTGACTCCAGAGAGGCAGTCTATGATTGGCTGTGGCTAAGCTAAGAGGGTGAGAGACAAGAACTATGGCTTTTTATATTTGTTCACATATGTTTCCCATTAAGTGGAGGCATCCCGTCTCTTGTGGTCGTTCCCTGAAGAAGAGGGAGTTAGACTCCGCAGCAATCTGAAACTGCAAATTATTGGAAAAATACAGAGTGACAGAATTACAACGTTCCTCTCTCTATCTGTCTTCATATCTCTTTTTCTATTTCTCTTTCTCCACCCTCCCTCTAGCTTGACATCCACCACCAGGCGGAGTTCTGCAGCGCTCCGAGTGTGTAGGAACAGTGAGCCAGAGACTGAGGTAAATGCTCAAATATTCAGATCTCACTAGGTGCAATTGTGTTAATGAAACACAGACTGGTTAAACAGATCAACAAGTCTTTAGAGCCCCACTGACCAGGCCATCCAGATTACACATCTTTATGAAATTATACAAATTAGGCCCAAGAGACAGAATGCATGTGTCGTTAGGTGTTAACCTTTATGTCTTTCTTCATCCTGCAGAGAGCTCGCTGCTGTTTCTGTTTTGGAGATGACACAGGTGAGGAAAGTCAAATAATTCCCCATCACTATCAAATCTTTTTGTTTTTCCTTCAGCCCTCTCTTCCCCTTGCCTTTCCAGCCTGTTCTGTATGTATGCATAAGTCCCCAGCCGTAGTGTTTGCACACAGAGGGGCTATGCTCATTGCTATTCCTCAGCCAGATTGAGGATGGTGAGAAAGTATTGGTCAGCAAACACAGATGATGTCACTGTTACTAGGAGGTTAGTGTGGCACAGTGAAGCAGCACCAGCAGCGTTGTGGAATTGTGGGTAGGCTGACACTGCCCCCTGCTGGAAATAAAACACTGACAAATATATCCATTGGAAATATATCACCACTAGAACACATATTCTGTTTGGGAGTTACATATCATTTATTCAGTCCAGAATAACATAAAACTTTCTCTCATATGTTTTCTTCTGGCTCACCTCAACTGAAATCAATGTTTGAGAGTCTTTATCATATTAAAAGTGTAACTTGTTTCATCGTTTCATGTGTACTTTTCAGATGACTATGATGATGAGAAGACTGGTTCGGGCCAGAACGTGGTGTATGATGAAAGAGAGGGAACCATCTACAGCTACACCTACTTCCATTTTGTCTTCTTCCTGGGATCCCTCTACGTCATGATGACCGTCACCAACTGGTTCCAGTAAGTAATACTCACTGACACACTTTCTTATTGTGGTACAATTCTAGGGCATATATGGATATGCTTATGTACACACATCCAAGCAATAGTTTGTACACTGTCAGGCATATAAATCTCCTTGCTACATCTCTGGAGCTGTTTTCACAAAACATGCTAGGACTGGCCGAGTTAGTTATCATGCAAATAAGGTGGCATGTCAGTACTAAATTTAAAACTGCTAAGTTTTAAAAGATGGGCCGCATCAAAGTGGGGCATGCTGATATCAACATGCAGATGGTGTTTGATGCCAGATGCAATGTACTCGATGATGAGTCAATATGGGTCCCTCAGGAGTTGAGGGATAAAACTGAGCTAGAAGGAGTATGAATATTAGACTCATATTTACGATGTTGCCTGAAATACAACTCTTAATGAATTCTAATGTTGCTTTGTAAAATGGCATCAGTTTGCAAACACATTTGTTGTATCGCCTTAAAAAGGTAATGTGACAGTGTTGTGTTTACAGCTTCTTTCTACTGCCCCCAAGTGGCAAAATCTTGTTGTCAAGATTACATATCAATCCTTCTTAGTGTCTTTGCTCACTTCTCTCACTGCGTGCTTCCTTTTGCAGTTATGATAACCATAAGATTGAGAAACTGTTAGACGGGAGCTGGTCAGTCTTCTGGATCAAGATGGCGTCCTGCTGGGTCTGTCTCATCCTCTACATGTGGACCCTCGTCGCTCCCATGATCTGCCCGAAGCGCTTTGAGGCCTAGGCCACACATCACCACGCTAGAGTCAGACAACTCTGATTCTTGGGATGTGGCCAGGCAGAAGCTCTGACGCTGAGCCAAGGGACCACCACAACCCCCCTTTACCTTGAAACACAACCCTACACTACCCTCATTGTTCGAAATGGAGGATTATCTGTTGCCTTTTGTTTTATATGCTAGTTTTACTTTTACTTTGTTTTACAATGTTAAGCTGTTTAATACCTTGATGGTAATTTTGTTATCTTTTACTACCACTTACTCCTGGAGTTTTGTATTGCTTACAGGTTTGTAATTACATTAAGAATCATGGGACTTAAGGTAAATTGTGACACATCCAGCCGCTATAGATTCCTTGATAATTTAAGAAGTATTTCCTGTGTGTCCGTTTTTCTTGGATTCTCGCTTTTTCTCTCAGCCAGCCATTTCAGTTCTGTAAAGTTAGTATAAAGTTGTAGCAAAGTTTAGGGGCAAATTTGTTTCAAGTTAGATGTGTTGCAAGATAAATTGTATTTATTTAAGTATGTCTTAAGTAATCACAAATCATTTTGTGAAGGAATGTGGTGTACATCGAATTAGATTTGTCCCCAACTTTGTGTAAAAATTCATCTCTCAGGCTCAAATGTAAGCTGTATATGTTTATGCTTTGTTATGTTGCGCCCTTTTGTAGAATTTTTCTATGCAACAGAACAAGCTTTTTTCAATATTACAGACAGCCAGTGTTGTGAAGTTTCCAGTTAAATCACAAGGTTAATGTTTCATATTTTATTAATGTCAGTGCTCCCTTTGAGCGAGATCTTTTCTTAGGAAAATCCATGTCATTTGTACAACATTTCCAGTCATCGTTGTTGTTGTACAGGGCAGTGCTCTTCAGATCAACCTGCCTTACGTAACTGACGTTAGTGGAGTGCCGCCTCTCTGGAAGAGCTGCAGTGACATAGATAAGGGAACGTTTGCCAAAGGTAGATGTCAGTAAACTACTACAAACTATCATTGTTTGGTCAGTTAAAGAGAAAAATATAATTGAGAACATTATGTATTTGCATGCACAGACACTTAAATCAGCTGTTTTTGTACAGTTATAAAGGCTTTTGCCTGTCTTTGTTACATGTGTCAGCTCAAAAGGTCAGAATGAGGTAGCATGAGTGCTTTTATTAGTGAGTTATTCAACACTGGATGTTGATTTTACTGCCGAATTAGAATTCACACAAAGACCATCACGTCTTTGTTTCCCAAGTAACTGATTTTTATTTTTTTAAATAAAAATACAATATATTGCATATTGTCAGCTGCAAGTCATTATTTCTCATTCATCAATAAATCAGTTGACTTTTGTGTGATTGCTAACGTGTTTTATAATAACTTATGTACATTTTGGCTAAAGTTCTGTGATCTGTGGATAGTTTCCCTTGAATTATGCTTTATATACCTGCAAATTTTGTCATGTGATGTGGAAACATTTCAGCATTTTAACTATTGGTATGAATGTAGAAATTAAATGGTGCTCTGCAGCTTTGATACCAAGCTTCAAAAGAAGCCTAAATCTGATAGCAGGATCCACTGTGAAAGCTGTGTACTACCGTAACATACAGGAACATTTTTGACCAAGCAGTATGTTCGAAATACAGATATGTGGGTGCCATGCATTCATATTGTTCAAAGTCTTTCAATAAAACAACCATTGAACGCCATGTGGTGTCTTTATTTGCAGATTGGTTTTCCTTCATGTAGATAAATAACATACAGTGATCTCATGTAGAAAAATGAAATAGAACCTGCTTTGATTTTGTGGAATGCTCAGGATTTTATTGTACTTACAATATATTCAAAAACAGTATTGCATCTCATATAATACTGATGAAATCGCAGATGATGCTACTTTGACATACACAGAACCTGCTGATGATTTATACAAGATTGTACTGGCTTCAGTTAAACTGAGTTAAAGTATATAATGCCCAATTTTACTAAGACCCTCTCGCTCGAATGAAGTTCAAACACCCAAGTCTTTCACTAAAACTATCCACCATGGTCCTTCACACATTGATATTTCTTTCTCTAACTCATGTCCTCTACCTCTTCGTTCTCAGCAGTGCAGCTCTGCCCCTTTCATCCACATATCCAATGTTTCTTTGATGGATCACTCTCCTCTCGCTTCACTGTGTGTTCTGGGCATTAAGATCCTGGTAGTCAGCAGGAATAGTGTCTGGAGAGAAGGAACAAAAAAGGAACTCATAAGCATATTTGCACTTTATGTAGCTGACTGGACTACCTTTAACACACTCACCGTTGCAACGGTACTTCAGATTGGACCAGATTATATTTTCCTGAGAGAAGCAGAACACGCCCAGTCTCCCGCCTCTCATGCTAGTGTCAATTATCACCTCTGTGTCTGCCACCAGGTCCGAACCCTCAAAGAAGCGGGCCCTGGTTCATACACACAAAGTGAAACTTGTTAGTAAGTTCACACTGTGTATGTGTGTAGTGTGTATGTCTCTTAGTGTTGGTGCGAGTCCGTTTGTACCTGATGTATCCAACCTGTGGTCTGTGCTGGAGGAACCAGCGGTAGGAGACCTTGTCCTTCCAGCCAACGTTCCTGGGGTCCTTCCACAGGAGACGGACCTGCTCGGCGGTGTCTCCTGTGTGCCAGAGGGAGTTCCTCAGATACTCACCAGGACCCGTCTTAGACTTCACAGCCTAGTGATAAAGAGCCAGAGAGCATGAGAAAGAAAAAAAACTGGTAGTGACAACAAATGATCAAAGTGTCCTTGGGAAAACATCAAACCTAACCCAATTGCTCCTGTTTGCCGTTGGTTAGGCAAGCACCTTGAATGGCATGGTGACTTGGTGAATAAGCAACAAACTGTAAAGCACTTTGGATAAAAGCACTATATAAATGCAGTCATTTACCTTGAGCTGTATTCCTGGCTCAGCGACAGCTCTGAAGGGCGCAGCCTGCCAGTATGTTTGTTCCGTTTGTTTCCACATCACCACGTAGAAGGAGGAGGAGTCCTGGTAGCCGAAGATGAAGCCAGCATAGTCATCATCTGTCATTGTGTTCACATGGAAGGTTCCTTCAAAGTCAACCCCACTGAACGCTGTGTAGCCTACAGATGTGGACAGTGGAGAGGAAATACACAACATATACACATATACACCAACATATTAGGTAAAGGTAAACAAAGAAAACATTTAGGAAAATGGGAAATATTTTATTGTTAAAACAAATGGCGATTGGTCTGTATGAAAGTATTCCGTGCTTACCTACAGCAAGGCCAGGGTCAGAGTTCATGGTCTGAACTATTTCCATGCCCTGTTAGGAAAAAAGAAAGTACCTTCACTTTATTCTAACAAAATAATTGTTGTTGTTTTGTCAGATTTTCTATAGAATATGAATGGAAACCCCTAAGAACACGTTGAGCTTCATACAAACACTGATTGTAACAGAGGCTATCTAGGAAAAGGAGGCTGAACTTTAGCTATCATTTACCTGATTGAGGACCACCCAGTTGGGGTCAATCTGAGAGTCACCCTCTGGGTCCAGCACCACGGTCTGATAGGCTCTGAAGTCGGTCAGGGTGATCTCAGCGTTCTCTGGGCAGTGGTCAATTATGTCAACCACATTGTCTTTGTCAAAGTCCCCTTCGCATGCATCTCCAACTCCGTTATCTGAAATACAAGGGAACCCCTTACAAAACCAAACAGCAGAAACACATACTGTATGTATGCACGCAGTCAGGAACAAAGGCTACAATTCTGATTTATTGCTCAGATTTGTTTTTTTGTTTTGTTTGGCTGTTCACATTTTTACATGTGGCTCATATCAGAATCCAGAATGAACAGGTCATGGTCCTGAAGTGAATGTCAATGTGAAAGTCACATGTATTCTGATATGACTGTTCACACTGAGGTCACTGCAATAAATTCTGACCTGTATTGAAAATATCAGATTGTGGTTTGTGGTGTTCACACTGTTACTGATTAACATAGCCAAAGATGAAGAGATACTAACTGTCTGTGTCCTTTTGGTCTGGGTTAACAACTAGCCTGCAGTTGTCATAATCATCCAGTATGCCGTCATTATCGTCGTCATCATCACATTCATCCCCCTATCAAGATAAAACAGCACATTTGGATTATTGTAAACACAGAGTTGCTATACCGTCTATATGTCACCATGCATGAGATGAATTGATGAAATATTATGCATTTGAAAACGTTTTAAAACCATTCCATCCTTGTCAGTGTCCAGCTGAGCGGAGTTGATGACTGTGGGACAGTTGTCCTTTGTGTTCTGGTGGCCATCACCATCACTGACAAAGAGGAGGTAGGGCGGATAAAACAAAATGTCAAAACTTTATACATCTTTATATAGATTCATACCACAAGTCTTGACAGTGAGCTCTACCTGTCTATGTTGTCGTCACAGGTATCTCCTACAAGATCATGATCTGAGTCAGACTGCAGGTAGACAAAACAGGTTATGTTGTTCAGAGTTATGAAGCAGCAGGTGAATCTTTTTCAGGTTGTTGTTTAGTTTGTTACCTGGTTCGGGTTGAACATATCAGGACAGCTGTCACAGGCATCTCCCACCCCATCGTTGTCTCTGTCTTTTTGGTCTGGGTTAGGGACTCGCTGACAGTTGTCAAGAATATTCTTCAAGTCTGAGAACATAAACACCTCAGCACATTAATTTCTGCGTCATGTGTAAAAAGCGTTGACAGGAAAATAACAAAGCATGACAGAACACAGCCCACATACACAGTCTGTCAAATGCATCACCAGATGGCAGTGTTTGTTTAAGACGGAGGTGAAATAGTTTCCATTGGCCTTCAACGCCTTGCAGAGGCTTACTGTGGAAAATGCTTTTAGAGAAGAGACAGACATGACCAAGCGCTTAACAATCCAGCCTTGGAGTTAAAGACATAACCAAATGATCAAGAGGTTGGAGCTCTGCCAAAATGAATGAACAGGGGTTCCTAAACAGACTCCAAACATGCAACGTGCGTAAGCATATAAAGGTAAACACGAGGGCACATACAAAGGCAAGAAGTTAGAACTGTGTTACCAGTGGAACAAATGAGAGGTTTTCTAAAAGGGTAATCAAGTGAAGTATGTGAGAAAAGTTTGTGAGACAACACTTAGGATTCCAGTTGGAACATTTTAACATTTAACACGGTTTTCTTCAGGGGTTTTAAAGGTCTTTCATTTTTTTAATGACGCTTGAATTGTTTCCATGAAAGCCAATGATCTAACTGGTAGAGGATGTGAATTGGAAACAGAAACAAAAAAGACCGAGAGGATGTTTTGAACAGATAATGTCTTGCCAGTTCAGTGAAAGACAAACATAAATGTGCACACTTTCCACCAAATAGGATTGTAAAGGTTGTATTCTTGTCTAGACAGTGTGTGCTTTGGATGACCGTCGCAGACATGGTAGTCTTTTAATGTGATTATCAGCCATTAGGTTTCACAATGTGCTTCTAAATTTATAACCTCTAATTGATGCTATAAAAGCAGTAATGGTCAAGTTACTATACCTCCCACAGTAATGACCATCCAACCTTTTTAGCCACTGCCACCATTTACAAAAAATACTCTAATTACACCCAGTGATGCACAGCAAAACTATGTGATTACAATAATTATTTGATTGTTATATCATAGAAAAAACACTTACTATCCCCATCCATATCATCATCACACTCGTCTCCCAGCCCATCCTGATCGGTATCTCTCTGTGAAGGGTTTTCGACTGTTCTGCAGTTGTCACAGGCATCGCCATGGAGATCCTTATCGCTGTTCCTTTGGTCCACATTAGGAACGAGCCAGCAGTTGTCCTGTGGCAGACAAAGTGCATAGGCTAAGTGAGATAGTTAAATTCCTATTTTAAAAAGTTAAAATCTGAGAAATTATTGTATACTGGTCCTGTGGAGCTAAATTACCTACATCTATATTAATAATGCCATCACTGTCTGCATCATCATCACAGGAGTCACCCAGCCCGTCCCTGTCTGCATCCTCTTGGCCAGAGTTTGGCACAAACACACAGTTATCCTGGAAACAACGCAGCAAAACACGCACAGTATTAGTTTTTAATACTAGCATGAATTAAATGCCAGAGAGGGTAATGGAGATAGACATGAGTACCTGTTTACAGTTGTTGTCTCTGCACTGGAGCTTGTTGTCAGGATATGCGTCAATATCTGTGTCCTTTCCACACACATAGCCATTACCTGCCCAGCCAACGCCACACTAAACCACACACAAGAAGGAAACGAATGTAATGTACGACAGCACAACACAGCAATTCACATTCATGATCCAGTGGTATGCATAAAGTTGTAATCAGTATTTTCTAAATTCTTACCGCACAGCTAATGCTGCCATCTCTACCCACGATACACTCAGCGTTGAGGTCACAGGGGTTGGGTTGACCATTGGGGCAAAGCCTGGAACCATGGCAGCCTCTCACCTGGTCACCTGTGAAACCAGTTTTACACTCTCCACAGCGGTAGGATCCCTGATGAGGACAGTACAGAGTCAAAAACCAGGTCCTTCTGCTAGAAGAGAGAGTGATAATAACCATACACCAGTCCCAGTGGTCTTACTATAGAGTTGTAGCAGTTTGAGTTGGCAGTGCAACCTCCATTCTCAGGTGGGCCCAGACACTCATCTATATCCTCACACA